GACAAGGGAGTCAACTGCTCCTGCAATCGGCCTACTTGTGCAACCCCTGTTATGCCTCTTTGTTACTCGAGCCCCCTAGGGCGGGTCTCTATTCTGTGCAGCTGTCACCATCCCCCCTGGTACTTGCCCGACCACAGGTCGAGGCACCTGCCTACCTATTCTGGCTGTGCCTCTGTAAAGACGCTGCTTTGGGGTGCCTGGGTGGCTCGCTCAGGTAAGCGCTTGATTTCGGCTCAGGTCACCATCTCACAGTTGGGAGCCCCCGGCGTCGTGCTCGGCGCTGACAGCCAGAGCCTGCTTCGGATTCTCTGTCTCCCTCTCTCTCTCTGTCCCACCCCCATGCTCTCTCTCTCTCTCTCTCTCTCTCTCTCTCTCTCAAAATAAACTTAAAAAAAAAAAAAGACTCTGCCTTGGCGCCTTGGCCTCCCAAGGGGCAAACGAGGAGCGCCCACGACATCTCCCCGCTGGCACCCCGGTCCCCCAAGCCCACGGCCGGCAGCTATCACCTGAGCACTCTCTCCCACGCACTGCTGGTGTATCTGTGAAGGGCAGTATATGCCGGGAACCTTTAAAAAACATGCATATGACCTTCTGTCCGGCGATTTCACTTCTAGGAATTTCACTGAGATACACGTGCGAGAGTATTCACCGCAGCGCGGTCTAGAACAGCAAAAGACCGGAAATAACCAACGAGTTGTCTGGAGGCTGGTTGAGTAAATGACAGGGCCCACGGGCGGCTGTTTCAGGGCGGGAGGTGATGGGACAACCGTCCGGCTCCCACCGTGGCTACCACCGTGGTCGGGGCCACGTCTCCCTCCGGCCTGAAGGGCTGCAGGGGCAGCCTGACTGTCTCCCGGCTTCCACTCTGACCTGCTGTCCATCCTCCAGCCCGCGGCCAGCCGGGTGAGCCTGTTACAACCTGTCGGATCAAACCCTCCGCGGAGACCCGTGTCACACGTGGCAAACAGCAAAGCTCTCCAGACAAGATGCCGTTGCCCTCTGCGCCCTCCGCGCCTACGGGGTGCCCCCTCCCTCCCACCCCAGCCAGAGGGCTGCCTCGCTCGGCCTGCAGCACCCCATGCTCCTGTCTTGCCTTTTGCACCGGCTGTTCCCTCTGCCTGGAATGCTCCTCCTCCAGAGACCCGCGGGGCTCCCTCACTCCCGTCGGGGCCTTTCTCTACTCAGTGTCCCATTCTCTGCCACCTACGTAAAGTTGCCGGCTCCTGACCGGTCCTACCCCGCCTCCCCTGTTGGATTTTTGCCCTGAGCACCACTCACCACCAAATCGACATGGTGCCCGTTTATATTATTTGCTCTCTGTCTCCCCAGCCAGAATGTAAACTCCAGGAGGGCAGAGAGATGTTGACCTTCCGTTTAGTGCCGGATCCCCCGCAAGGGGAACCGTGCCTGGTGCAAAGTGAGCACACGATAAACGTTTGTTGAATGGGTTAGGGAATCGGTGGTGAAAACAAAACCCAGGGCAAGATAGCCTAAGTTGAGAGGCCGCAGAAAATGGTGGTTAAGAGAACAGATTCTGGTCCTCGGCTGCCTAGATTCGACTCCCAGCTGCTTCACTTAGCACTGTGTGATGTTGGGGGCGGTTCCTTAACCTCTCTGTGCTTGGGGGCACCTACCTGGTAAGGCTGTTAGGATTAAATGAGTTCATATTTTTTTTTTTTTTAAATTTTTTTTTC